AGATTTTTGATAGCGGTTTGTCATAGAGAGTTCATTCTTTTTTTGTCTAAAAGAGGAAGAAAAAATACATCGACTGACCGGCGTCGATTTTTGAATTAGGTATTAGTTTTTTTGTCAAACTGAGGATTTTTAGAAAATCTGGAAGGCTTTTTCGGGTTTCGCAGGTTGTTGGTTGCCTGGAAAACCAATAAAGGCTTAATTGAAAAATCGGCGCCGGTCAGTCGATGTAGTTAGGTGTCTAGTTTAAAATGAAACAAACCCGAACTCTCCAGCTTGAAGTATATTAAAAAATCTTGGGACGTCGTTCAGGGTCCTTTTTGGACCTTAATCTCTGGAAAACTCCTAAACCGTAAGACTTGGAGACAAAAAATTTTTTTTATTCCAGTAACTCATTGTGCCGAACATTTATGGAAAGTTTCGTCAAGATCGGATGCACGGTGTAGGAGATAATTTCTGAGGGAGGGGGGCCCTTAATGGATGTACCTATAAAATAATCGCGTAATAAAGCCCACCTAACGGTGAATATAGTACGGCAACGTGCCGTACTTCGATATACAAGAAGGACATTAGATCAATAATACTATATTTCTTACCTTGTTATTGTTGTGTCACCTGGACCTAAATATGAATTCGAACATAAAATTCAAAGGCTGAAGCGTACTACAGTAAACATTTTCACCTACAGTTAAGAGGTGATCCAGCCGCTACAACCATAAATGTGATACAATATTGATCGGACTGAACATTCTTACTAAATTTCAATCAGACAAATGCAATTAGAAGATACAAGTAGCACTTACTTACCTATCAACAGCCACAGCACACAACACTTGTGCTCCTATTTCAAGGATTGTTGGCGTCCAGGTTAGTGTCACATACCATGTATCAGCTGTTGCATTCATTATCAATGCACTTTTACTCACAATTGGGAAAGACAATGTTCCAATATCCTTAATCGTGGTACCATTTCCACAATTGTTTTTTGCAAATAACTGCAGACTATATGGTTGACCAGCTTGAACAGCCGTACAACTATCTGGTAAATCAGCACTGGTTAGTGTTGGAATTAACGCACAGCTTGGAATGCTGTAAACAGAAATAAGAAATTGGACTGGGACAGAACTAAAGGGTGTGCTTGTTGAACTATTATAAAAATCTTCTACCTAAAAAAATTAAATTATAGTCTATGCTCAACGATATATTATGAGCATACTTGAATAGCTACAGAATACAAATCTCCACTTGTAACACCTGTAATGGCAAAAGTGCAGTTTGGATAAACTATTGTACCCGTCGGAAGCGCAGCGGTTGCACATACATCGCCACATTGGTCTACTGGTGATTTTGTCGAAAATCTACATTGGACATAATCATTGTCAGCATCAAGAGTTGGTACTGGAATATATTGACGGATGCCGGCCGGAACGGCAATTGGAGAAATCATTGACGCTACCGGTGGAGTGTTTATGAAACCGTCTGGTCGAACACGTAAATCTATTGTGCAAGCTATATTCCAGTTTTTATTTGAATTACTTGATATAAATGCCACTGTAAAATAGGAATTTGCTGATATATTCACCATATCCATACGCTGACCAACTGTCAAGTTTAACGTTGTAGAATAATCTGTACAATATGGCGTTACTGGAATCGGTACATAACCTCCTGATGTACTACAATTAGCTAAACAATTGAGCGATTCTCCATTACCACCTAATGAACCAAGATATAGTTGCGTTTGGTTTAATATCATACTGTTAGTGCAGGTGACTTTTGTCCATGTATAAGAATATGTTTGAGTAATGATAATTGACACTTCACTGCTATTGATGGCTGTATTATCCAAAGGCTTGTACGTAATGGATCCGCCATGAAAATGACTTGTATCAGTATTAAGTATAAGATGAACAAACATAATGATCTTTGTTGTCGACGACCAATCCTAGAACAAAGCAGTCGAAAGTAGAGGTTGACTGAAAGCATGGCAGAGATTTAGGGAGGAAGGAAGTAGTCTCCCTCACAGAATTCATCAACTTATATATCACCTGCAAGGATTCCTCTATTTTTCAAAAGTTCGGTTGATCAGCATGAAAAATTTAGCTGGCATATTGTTGGCTTTAAGCTGCTTGATTGATGAAAAATACGACTTTTGAAACGTATTCAAAAGTTTGTTTTTAATAACCTTGCGGTTCTGTAGGTGAAATTTTGTGCGCTTCAGGTACAACATTACATGTGCACATGTGTATGCTCTTAAAAGTCGAACGGTAAAATCGAAAATGGTTTTCGCCGATAGATTAACCGATAGATAAATGGAGTATAAGCTTACACGGCCGAATTTGCTTGCTTTTATCTGCTAATTTTTTTTTCACTGCTATTCAAACCCTTCTTTCATCCACATCACCATTGAAGATAAGTTTTTAGAAGATATAGCCGCTAGAGGCCAGAAGGTAGACTGGTCTCAAAGAATCCCTGACGTATGTTACAGACAATGTCTACTGTGCTACCTACATAGATTTAGTGCCAAAGGAAAAATATGCTATTTTGGAACTGCTCCTGAGTACTATTTATTAAGTAATATTTCTGAACACTACGTTTTTTTTAGTGTCGTCCTGTCATTCTTCGTTACGTATGAGGGAAACAGTATGGTTTACACTGATGAGCTTCTCACTACTCTTTTAGAAAAAGGATCGATGGAGAACTACGGAAGTTTTCCTCAAAAGCAAAACAAAGTTCTTAACTTCCAACTCTTGAATCCAAAAGGTATTTTCTTCACAGATTAGGACAGAAATAGATTTGTGAATAAAGCTCCTTGGCTTTACACCGAAAAGGCTTCCTTAGAACAGAAAAAAAAGACTTTCTGATGAGTAATGCACTTTTGGCAACCACAAAAAGAGTGCCGAAATGGCTTTTTATAGCTCCAAAATCCTAATGTCATCTTGCAGAATGACAATTTCAGGATCTTTTATGAATTTTACAGTACTAATTTTTATGCTAAGATTTTTAGCAAAATGTGTCAGAATAGATTCCGATCTGTTTTTGGATCACATATAACAGTAAAAAATAGTGCGTCGCAAATTGTAACATATTCTGTGACACGTCAAAGTACATCTCTGGATGCTCACTACATTTTTTATCCTTGCTCTCCAACACATTACCTTGCGACATATGCGACTCATTATTGACGTTGCAACATAAAATAGCGTAGGATCAAACTTTTTTACTGGTTTTCGTTCTTTCTTTGAAAATTGCGCTGGCTTCAAATAATGTCGATGCGCTGAGAGCGGACTTGGCGCTCTATGGACTGTAAAGACTCTAGATTCCGAGATAAAAATTAGCATATTTTGATTATTATAAATTTGATTGTTCCCAACAATTCAGTGACAATTCACCAAATGGCGAATTGGCAAATTAAAACAGAAAATATTGAAATAAGCTATTCGACGCTTAACAGAAGCGTGAGATTCAAAAAAGATCTGAATCTTATATGCTGTGTGCCACAGTTTTTCTTCGTAAGCAAAAATCGGGATTAAACGCTAGATAATTATAGGATATGTACCGAAGAGTATGACAATCTATTACAGCGTGGTTGTTTAAGATTAAAATAGAAGAACAGTATTTTTCTTTGACCTCGTTATGATACAGCCCAAGAAAAAATCACCTATGTGAAAAATCTAGATACATTTTGTCTGTAAGCGGGCGGTGTACGACTAGTTGTCATCTAGATTAATAGTTGGAAAACGGACTTTCAACTAGATGCGTCTACTTTTGCAAATAGCAATAGTTAAATCGATAGTTGCAACTAGAAGAAATCTAGCAACTGCCTGATTACTAGATTTCCACGGTCGTTACCCAATAGTTGCGATCGAGTAAAAATGTAGTAATCTAGGTGAATCGGGCGTACTAGATTCTTTTTTGATGCTTGGGAGATTCCCGCCCAAAATGCGGATTACACACTTTTTAGTGTAATTCTTGCAAGCTAAAGCAGAGTATGCAAGCTTTTGCTACATGATTTAGCGACGATCAGCCCATGTTCATTTCATTTTACCTTTCCCTTTCTAACAGTGGGCAGGAATGCAGACATTCGATCAAAAGATAAAATGAGCGCTTCCAATTTACATTAGCACATAATAAATTCTGACATATAGACTACCTTTTTGTATTAACTGAAATTTTCCGACAGTTCTCTGCTAATTTTTGATTATACGTTTTTCGTTGTACAGCAGCTACGTGCAGTGCAGTAGCAAAAGTTGTCCGCGTATTAGCGTAACGCGGAAAACACTTCCCAGAAATTGAAATTAAAGTGTTATAAAGCATTTTTATCTATAATTTATGCCGTTACAGCGCGTTATCTAATTTCTGTCGTATTATAACGCATTAATATGTAACGCGTTACACCGCGTTGCAGGTTAATGTATTATACCGCTATAATATTTAACTATCCGACTGGATAATTTTGAGGCTTTAATGTATATTAAATAAAATTAAAAAATGATACGCATGATAATAGATTAAAATTGTTATGCATTATAATGCATGAAAGCCTAACAAACTACATAAAATGTATGAAAAAATAGGGACATTATAATTTGTTAAAGACGAGATTTGTTATGCTAAGCCGTTATAATCCATTACTTATGCATTAAAGGCCATTAATTTATGAAAAGCATTTTTTTAATGCATTATCATACGCCAAATCCGCATTAAGTCCCAAACTGGAGCACATTATAATACATTACAACACGTAATAATGCGAATACTACGTACTAATTAATGCAATATAATGCGTCATATTATCATTCATTAGTATAGCTAACGCATTATAATTTGTTAAATAGTTGTATTGCGTTATAACGAAATTTCAGAACATTAACTGCTGTTAATGCATGACAGTTTTAGCCTTGTAGACATTTCTCTTGCTCTCTACTCGGCCTATTGGGCTAGAATAAAATTTTCAAAAAGATTCTAATGTAAAATCTTTAAATATGTGACGTATGTATCGGCAAGGCTATGCATAAATTTCGCTTTTTTCCAACTTCATTTTTCTGAGCACATTGGCGATCCTGGGTACCATCTGAAACAAAACGTTTTTTACAGTTTCTAAACGCCAAAAGATAGAGCAAATCGAGTTCTATTAGTAATGATACCTCTATCTATTCTTCGACAATGTATGAAGGTGTCACAACGCGCAAAAAATCGCCCAGAATAAAAAAACTGTGTTTTAAGTCGGGGAATGATGACTCCTCGGGGTGAATCATTGCATTTCATGAGTCATCGTTCTAATTAATGCACGATAAATGGCTGTAGGCCTTTAATCAATGATAATATAGTAAAAGTCTTTCATTTCGCACGTTAACCCTTGTACTACCAACCAGATCTATTTGTTCTCAAAAAACAAAAAAATGGGATGAAATTTTTTTTGCATGGATCGAATTATGAAATACATTCTATGAAAGCATTCTGTTTTTCGTGTCTAAAATAGGCTTGGGAGCACAAGAGTTAAAGCTGCTGAACTCATTGTATCTGTTAAACTATACCTATTTTAACGGTTTATAATAGAATTATGAAAAGTAATCGATAATAATCTGTTAAAATCGGACTTTTTAAATGGCTATCACTTGTAGTTTTGCTACTCTTCAGTTAATATATATTATTTCGCTTAACGTAAGGTAATGCGTTATATTTTTGAGGAATTACAAAGCATTTAAACGTTTTTCGTATTCAATAATGTATATTATCACATTATAAAGCCGCAACGCGTTAGCATATATTAGAAGAATAATCGAGTGCTGCGGCTTTGAAACTAAAATATGCGTAAAAATATATGTTAATTAGTTATCGTTTCTTAATGTATGAGTACGCATTGAAGATTAACACATTATAACATGTTATACTGTGTATTATAAACCCTCGTCTACATTAGAAGCCCAATGGGCTTCTATTATATCCCGCAAGAAAGGTAAAATTTTCGCAAAAAGTGCCCTATGGGGGCAGGGGCAGTTTTCAAAAAATTTCTTATCAGACTGGGCTTCTAATGCGGGTGGGCTTCTATTATGGAATGGGCTTCTAATGTGAGGGGGGTTTACGTATTATACTACACAAGTGATAATACGTTAGAAAACCCAGTTTTAATGGATGCTCATGCATTATTCATTAAAAAACGAGATTTAATTTTCTTTAACGTACATTAAAGTCTCAGAATTATCCAACGGGAAGACCGTAGACAAATCTAAGTGCGCTGTCATGGGATAAAAAATTGAAACCCATTATAATGCTATAAATTTATAGAGTTGTAATACAATGAAAATTTTTATCCACTTACAACGCCATAAACTCCTGAAAAATAACTTTGTAACGCGTTATAATAGGTGCGCTACATCTATCGCGTTGTAATACCATAATAGAAGAAAAAGCTTGTTTTAATAGCGTTATAACGCTATAAATAGGGAAAAAAAGATCCTGTAGGTATCTAATAAAATAATAAGTATTTTTAATATAGACGTGGTATAAGATTTTGACATTGTAACTGGAAAAAATTTTGTCTTTTCGAAGTAAATTTCCGACTGGTATTGCAGTATCCGAAATGTTCTTGAAAACTCGCAGATTTGATTTTGACATAATGTGAACTTCAGAGTTCTAAAATTCGGAATTGTAAGTAGAATTCTCAGTGCAAATAGCCGTGCATTTCACCGCCATTCCCATAATTCTCACAGTTTCCCTAATTCACCTACATCGCATAATGCCATATTATTAACCGAACAGCACACTATCGTAAAACACCCTTAACAGTATGTGCTACAAAATAAATCTAATAAATCACCGAATGTCTCGGACGATTCTCGAAAATTTCAAAACTGCAAAAAAGCAAACTTTACTTAAATTCCCATCAACCATCTAACAGGGACAGCCTGAAGCAGAGCTCTCGTGCAACAGACTAAAATTCTCCAAATTTCTGTAGAAAAGTAAAATTCTCGTGAAGAATATATTCGGGATATTCTCAGTTTCTCTCATCCAAGTAGAATTCTTGCGTAAGAGACTAAAATTCTCGGAACTTTTTCAAAATTCCGAAATTAATGGAAATAGGACATCTCTCCAACGTTTGCATTCAGCAAAGGAAGAATCAAAAAAGTATGAAAGAGATCTTCTTCGGAACATAACCCTTTGCTTTACAACAGCATGCACGGCGAAAAAGGACTTCAGGTTCAAGATAGAAAAGAAAGATTTAAAAAGCTAGGGTTTTTCAAGAGGTCTTGAGCTGCTTCATGCGAAGGTATCAAAGTTATCAAGATTACGAACTAAGGTCATGACATGCAAAGATACATCTTCCGTCTGCGTATACCTGAACAAATTTAAGATAAGCCATTTGTAAACAATTTTAGGCGCTGAAAATGAGTTATTATACAAATTGGTTCATCTTCTGCTTTTCAAAGAAATTTCTTCAAAATGAGCAAGTCGGCAAAACTTATATTTGCTTAAGTAACTTATGAATATCTTAGAATGGTTTGTAAATAGCTGACTAAATTTTAGATCAGCTAATCAAAACCTTTCCTTAATGAGACATAATTCTAACCCGCAAATTTCTGATTAAAATAAGACATCTCCCAGCTCTACACGACCTTTCTTTGCAAAGTTATAGAATTTAATATAAATTAATATAATAAATGTTCATTCTCAGCTCGGAGCTACAGAAGTCAGAAGAGATTAGTTCAGGGCTTTTGTTGTAAACTCTATAACTTTGCAAAAAAAGATCGTGTAGAGCTGAGAGATGTCTCATTTTAATCAAAAGTTTGGGGCTTACAATTATGTCTCACTAAGGAAAGGTTTTGATTATTTTTTAGAGTTTAAACTGCGTCTTCACCAGTCATTGGCACGAACCCTTTTAGGCTTTTTACTATCCTGATGCTCTCTATCCATCGACGTATGAACAATTGAAAAAGGAGTGTTACCGTAGAATACTGTTTCTCGTAAGTCAATCGTAACTCGGGAAGGAAGCCGCATGTGCCCAAATCTTTTTAGGATTTTTGTTACACTAATAGGCCCTATCGATCAGCAACATATGAGCTTAAACATAGTGGGACACTTGGCGAGGTTCCCTCGTTGGCGATAATAAATATGCTCATAGTACAAGTACAAAATATTTGTTGAAAGTACACGAGTAAAAGTACAAGTACTATTCTAAAGTACAAGTACTTTTACTTTTAAGGCGCGCGTATGTTATGATCTGCCTTCCCCGGCAGCTCATCAGGTTCATTCTCTCTCGATTTTGCTCTTGTACCATCCTTGCGCAACTCTCGTTTCATTCTTTCGTTTTCGTTTCCTTCCGCAGTGTATTTTCCCAACTCTTTCTGTTCTTGCGCAACACTTGCGTCATTCTGTGATGTTCCTAACTGTTTCTGTTCTTATGTAACTCATGATTCATGAGTTACATGAGTCATGAACAACTCTTGTAAAACTCTTGTTTAACTTTGTACTGTATATAGCCGTTCATTTGCTTCAAATAAAGATATCGGAGTGAGAGTTGATTCTCACTATAGCTTCACTTCTACGATTAGAGTTAGCCACTACAGGATCCATATTCTCACAGCGTAATTCAAAAAACAAGTACTATTTTAGTTTTAGTTTCTTTATATCTGATTCGATAGAGAATTTGAAGCTGATCACCGATAGCCTTTTTAGCCTTCCCAGTGCACGTTTACGCGTCGAAAAATTGAAAATACGGGAAGGGCCTTAAAAGCCGAAAAACTATTCGAGCGGTCTTTATTCGAACTACAAAAGTATAACTCGTTTTTTTGAAATTCCTCTCCATTGCTGAGAAATTTCACTTTTGCTAAATCAGGAGCGAAAAAATCGGAATTCTGCCCGTAATTCTCAATTTTCTCCACTAGAACTCGCTTTTTATGCAATAAAAGATATCATATTCAGAGTCAGAGTCAAAAACTGAGCCGAATGATGTATGATTTGAAAGTTTCCGGTGATTATTTCGAAAAACACAAAATTTTCACCAAAAAATGAAAATCACCGGAAGCTTTCAAATTATACATCATTCGGCCCAGTTTTTGACTCTGACTCTGAATATGATATCTTTTATTGCATAAAAAGCGAGTTCTAGTGGAGAAAATTGAGAATTACGGGCAGAATTCCGATTTTTTCGTTACTGATTTAGCAAAAATTTCTCAGCAATGGAGAGGAATTTCAAAAAAACGAGTTATACTTTTATAGTTCGAATAAAGATCGCTCGAATGGCGCAAGAATGAACAGTCTATCTTTTACCAGAAAAAACTAGATAGCTTTTCCGATGAGGTCTCCGCTTTGGAGATATCCTTGAAGATGAATTTTTCGTGCAATGACATTACATATGAGAAGCATAAAAGGCACATTTTCTACTTCGAGTTTCAACGCTGAATTAGAAAAAAGCTGTCTGGGAGTTTCAAAATAAGAAGGAGCAAAAGTGTTCAACTTTTTTCGAAACGGGAAAGTTTTTCGGTTTTTAAGACCTTTCCCGTATTTTCAATTTTTCGACGCGCAAACGTGCACTGGGGAGGCTAAAAAGGTGATCAGTTTCAAATTCTCTATCGAATCGTATATAAAGAAGCTAAAAATAAAATAGTACTTGATTTTTGAATTACGCACGCCTTACTTGTATACTTGTACTCGTTCATGCTCTGTTGCAAACATCTTGACAAATTCAAGAAAAGCCAGTTTGTAGGACAGTTTAAGAGATTTAAAATGAGCTGTCATAGAAAATTGGATTAGTTCTTATTTTTGTGAAAACTTAACCCCGCTCATATTGGACCCTCCATCGTTGAATGTACATCTGCTTTTCTCATTTGTCCAGAAACCTTAACACGGGTTGAATTGTTATCATATTAATATATTTTGTACAGATTTTGATTATCTTTCTGACCGTTTATTCATCTATCGATAAAGTGGTAAGAAATAGAAAAAATTGTTTTTTTCACGTATCAAATAGATCGTGTTGAATTCGCTATCTATTCGAGAAGATTCGATAGAATTTTTAGTGGGAAAATAGTTTAGAATCGTTCAGAATTGAATAAATATGCTTTTTTGCTACCATCAGAAGTAGGGTCCTGAGGATTTAATCCGATCCCGAAAGCTATTTTTCGGGTTTGGGTTCGGGACGAGATTAAATCATTTGAAAAAATCGGGATCGGGATCCCGAAAATTTTCTGCCGGGTTTGGGACGAGTTCCAAATCTACGAGACCCGATCAGGATCGGATTCGGAAATCTTAGAGCCGCAGGACTCTAGTCGGAAGAGTTGTAAATCAAAACACTAAATGAAACCATTTCAGATCTCATGCGGACCTCTTCTTTGAAAGGGAGAGAAAGGTACAAATAGGTTCGTTAGAATACGTTATCCTACACGAGGGTATTTCAATATATCGGCAAACAGCAATTATCTCTTCTGAGAAAGTAAATTTAGATATACGGAGTAATTTTGAACAGTTAATATTATCAAGAAAATGCGATGCAGAAAATATGGCCTTATATTAAAGATTCCTCAATGTGGTCCTCTGAGCGATAATAATGCATACATACTGCATTCTGCGGTACGGTATAAGAGAGGACAAAATAAAAGCTATAAACACCTTGCGTCACTCTGCATAAAACTTGACCGCTTCTTTGTAAAAAAATTATGTATATATTATGAAACTGTCTTTAGACGATGACAATTCGTCGTTAAAAACTTACCATCATTTGATTCTTCTCGCTAACTTAACATTGTCTTCCAATCTGACCAGTATAAGTTTCACTGCTGTCTTTCTCTTTTCTCATTTTTTATAAAAAATAATTTAAAATGCCCTTGATAGGATTCTTCATATTGAATTTTATAAATATTAAGTAACTGTTTATTTGTTTTTTCATATGAATTTTTTAATTTATATTAAAAATGTACTCCATCATGCGGTTTCTTCTTAATTTCAGATAGAAATCATGAACATCACCATTTTTCGTATTGCAAAATTGAATAAAAAGTCTAGTTTAATATACATGAATATTATCATAGAATAGGCTCAGAACCACTCTGTCATTATCTACTTCTCATCGTAATGTTGCATTTTCAGTTTTTGTATAACAGAAAACTGTACGGATTCACGTTCGTGCATCGTCAAGTGACCTAGGCGGTACAGTTCTATCAAAAAGCACGCACAATCAATATTTATACGAAAAGTAAATAAAGATGTTTAGTGTAAAACAAGATAGCATAATCGCATATTCATAATAGATTACGTGTTAATGACTGACGCTATTTAGAAGCAAAAATAGCTTCAGACTAAGGTGAGGAGTGGAGAAAAGGTAAAGCAGGAACAAGTAAAATACAATTATTTGTCCAAGCTCCGCCAGAAAAATCACACAAATATTCTGATTCCATTAATTCTGGAATTTCACATATCACAAGAAAACTTTATTTTCGACTGCAAAATGTGCCGATGCATGGAGCAAAATACCATCTCTTTCTTTAAATCTGTGCTCATACTGGTTTGCTGTATTCAAATCTGTCAAAAGAAATTTTCAAAAGCGATCTAAGTACCGAGAAGCTACTAAGGGCAGAAAAAAACAATAAAAACCGTTTCAAGTTTTTTTAATGTACATCATCACATGCAAATAGGCATTTATATGCATGATAGTCACGCCTGAAAAACAAATAAACACAATAGATTACAATGGTAGTAAATATATCGGTGAAGTTAACGAAAATGGAAAATCAGATGGGCAAGGAAGTGAATGGCGATCTGATGGTAATCATTATGAAGGACAGTTTAAACCAGCAAATTATGGAGGCCATGACGTTTATTATTATGCACTAGGAAAAGAACAAATTAAGTACGATGGTGAATTTCGAAATGGTGAACGAAATGAACATGGCATTGAGTATTATTCTAATGGTGACAGATACGATGGAAATTGGATTAATAACAGCAGAGAAGGTCAAAGTACTCATACATTTAAGAGCAGAGAGTAGTACAACGGTGAATTTCATCGTGACAAGTACAATGGTCATGGCATCTACTATTATCCAAGTGGTAACAGGTATGATTGAAAATATTGTGTGAGTCAATGAGATGAAACAGAATGAAGAAAAAATGCAGAACTGACAAAATGTCTCAAGTGGAAATGGCTGGTTGGATACAGGCGTTATGCTCTATCAATGGGCTATTCAGACACAGTCTTCGAAGCATTTTTTCTATCTAGGACTTTTATTTTCTTCGCACAAGCACTAATTAGTAGTGACAATTAATTGTGTGGGTGAGTATGTCTGGATAGCTCATGTGACTTGTATCCATACTGTCTGAATTCTATTCCGAGTTGAGACATACTTTTTCTGTACTGTTTTTTCTCTTTCGTTCTGCTGAGCGCGACCTCTCACATTTGTATCATAATTCAAACAAAATTGGTGAGCCTCTTCGTCCAATTGTTGCGTTTTAAATCACCTACAGCCAAGCTTTTCGTCCCATATTTAATGAAGCTACTGCACAGTATACTTTAGAAAACTCTCTCCAGTTCCTAGACCATCTTGACAGCTACACTGTGCCCCCGAAGACCCAACAGTTCACCTTTGACATTAGTGACTTATACACTATGATTCCCCAAAACCAGGCTGTTGCCGTAGTTTGTCGACTTCTTTCAAAGACAAAAGTTACAAAATAGAAGATATTTTGATAGACACCATTGCTAGATAGTTACATTTCATACTCAACAATGCATTTTTTGCATTAGGCAAAAAATTTTACAAACAAATTAAAGATGGTGCGATGGGTAAGCAGTGATTCAAGTGCTAGCCGATGTTTATATGATGGAGTGGGAAAATGACATTCTATGTGAATGATAAATAATTTCAACATAACGGTGAAACTTCAATTCACTAAATCAGTATAAGGAGCAGTGATCGACTACTTGTTTAAGGTTTATTCGGCGTCATAGCTTTGCCACTAAGTTGAGTATCTAATTATTTTGCCCTTATATTGAATATAACTGAACATAAGATGCTGTCAAAAATAGCTGGTACAGTCAAACTCATTTTCAGTCTACAATTAGTTTAAAACATGCAGTTACTCAGAAAAAAATTTAGCTCAAAAAAGGCGTTATTCAAAAAGACTTCAGTTACTCAGTTGACTTTTCACCCACACCCAAAACTTGTATAGAGAACGCTGGTGGACCTAACATTTAATATCCTGTCAGGACTGTTTTTCTTAATAAAGAAGGAGAGTCGATCTCAGGTTGAAGTAACGGAAGCCATCAAAAATAATTGAATGGATGGAACGTGGATGTAGACACTACATTCCACGCACAGATAAATCTGTTCATCTGTGTTGACGCGCAGATATAGATGAATATCGTTCTTTTTTCTTTTTTTCGTTTAATCGGCAGAAAGAGAAAAAGCTGATATGTGCTCTGTGATCTGTCAACTTCTACGTATAGGTGTCTTCTACAAATCAAAAAAAAATTACTTTCTTCGATGTATCGTTACCGAGAGTTCCTGTGCGTGGCGAAAGCTCTGAAGCTAAAAAACCGTCTTAAGAAAAATAAGTTTTAATTCTGCTAAATGCATTTGGCTCAAAAACTGTTTGAGCGTTAAACAATATGTTGAGATTTTGCAATAGGTTATCGGTCATGGCAGGTCTAACGAACATGTCATGGCCATGCGCGGCACAAGCGTGCGCTTATGCAATACATGTGCAAAAAGTCATTTTTTTTTGCTATAGGGCTTCTTAATTGAATTGGTAGAAAGAGTAAAAGCTGATATGTGCAGAATGGAACAAATTTTCATTTTCTATTATTAGATGCGCAATCTAACTTATATAAGGCTGAATTATACGTTTTCTTTAAATAATGACATAAAGAAAAACAAATTTTATCCTTTAGTCTAAATGTTGATGTACTCTTCTACCTCAAGAAAATCTCACTCATTAGGACTTTAATGGAAAATCTTTCAACTTAACGAGTTAAATAGAAGCTAATTAGAGACTATCAATTTCTACTTTTTTTCTTTTTTTATGAGCAGTTGAATTTTTATTTAAAAGAAATACAGCAAATCGGGCTTTCTCCCATTACATGCTGTCAAAAAGTAAAAATTAAAAAAGGTAAGAAAAAAAAGTAAAAAAGATAGAAGAAGAAAAATTCTTGAACAGTAGAGGAGAGTGTTCCTATGTGTCAAATAAAGTCAGTTGGTGTTGATAGTGACTTTAAAGCAATCAAACAAGCTACCAGATACAGTACTAGTGGAAGCGTCGAGAATCTGTAATATATTCTAGCACGCTATAAAACAAGTAATGTATATTATCAAAACCTAGTTCAGTAATTGCATCATCCTTTAATAAAATGTGAAACTGTCACATAAGATAGAGCATAAACGTTGTAAAAGAGTGAAAAATTGAAGCTTTCTATGTCAGAATCCTGTGCACTAATTTCAAGTTTTACAAAAAAATGTAGACGGACATTTTTTCATCAAATTTTCGATGAGGCTTTTTGCTGTATCTTTTGCCTCTTTCTCGAATTTTTCAACATAGTTTTAGATTTAAATGGCGAAAAATAAACTTAGATCGATAAATCTTTTCGAGAGCTATCGAATGATGTATAATATGTGCCCATTTGCGTAGGTTTCGGTTCACATTTTCGGAAACCTTTCTCGGTGAGAAAGGGGAAAACTTCGATATTAAATGTCTCAGTTACTGCGTACGTGGTAGTTGGGAAATTTTCACCACACGCCTAGTAAATGATGGGGAACAAGATGCACCACTTAGACTTTTCCAAGCTCGCTTTCATTTGTTTTTACGAATTGTGCAATAAACTTGCAATTCAATCAAATAAACCTCTGTTATAATAAAGCATCAATTTTAAAAAAATAATTTCAGCTTTTGAATTTCTTTCTCGCCCCGTGTTGATCATGAACTAGTCGTTTAACTATCATGGTATAATTACTTCTTGTGCACTTTAGCAAAAGTGGGTAAGCCAACGAATTTTGCCGAACAGTCATGATAACATTACAAGTCTTTTGAGAGCCGAAAGCGATATAGCTACATATCTATGTAGCTAGCTGGAGATTTATCGATCTAAGTTTATTTTTCGCCATTTAAATCTAAAACTATGTTGAAAAATTCGAGAAAGAGGCAAAAGATACAGCAAAAAGCCTCATCGAAAATTTGATGAAAAAATGTCCGTCTACATTTTTTTGTAAAACTTGAAATTAGTGCACAGGATTCTGACATAGAAAGCTTCAATTTTTCACTCTTTTACAACGTTTATGCTCTATCTTATGTGACAGTTTTATCAAGAACGGCTGCATTGCTTGCACGTTATAAGCAAAACAAATTGCAAATTGTCCGTCTACAAGGTGTACGAAAACGGTATGTCTTGGAAAAAAGATCCGTTTTTAACCTAAAAGAAAAAATCAAAACCTAAATTTTTTTCAGAAATTGTAGAGCGACATCAAATCTACCTTTGAGTCACTTTAGCATTAGTCGTTACAGTAAATAGCCTTAGAAAAAAGGATGGTAATGTCCGTCTACAGAAAATAAGAAAAGTGTGCGTAAAATTATTTTGGAGATATGGAACCAGAAAAAAGTATGTAAAAACAAAAGTGAATCATATGATTAGATAGAGAATTGAACGCCCTACAAAACGTGCTATTTTGCTTTCATTTTTCGTTCTTTCTTTCCTTAGAAAAATCCATTTTGCTGTCGATAAGTCATCAAAAAAATGGATTTTTTCTACTTTTGACCGCCGTAGTTCAGCAAGTTGACGAGATATGACCTCAAATATGCCCTTGCTAGTGAGGCAAGATATAAGGAAGAGAATAAAAAAAAATTTTTCAAATCCGTTCACTGGAACGCGAATGACCGTAAAAATAAGCAAATAATGTAATTGTACAATAAACTTGCAATTCACTCATTTACATTTTTTTCGTTGACGTTTCGTTGTTTTCTTTGCGCCTTAGTAATGAGAGCCTGTTTTGTTTTCATACCGAGATACCGTTGCGAGAAAGAAAACGAAGCAGAAACAAAAAAAGTGCATCAACTGAAACTCTTTTTTCAATATTTTCGAAATGAATAAGCTTTTGTTTGAAGTAAGTAATTGAGTGAGTAATTGAGTAAAGGGTACAGTATCGGATAAGTATGTTATTAAATTGTGTTCTGTATTTCTGTATGACAGCGCTGTGTCGATGGCGACAAATTATGCAGTCGTTTTTCCAACTTTAGAATTTCTTTTCCTTTCCCCGTAAGATGATCAGTACTCCCAAGTCCCAAGTAATGCTCATCTTCGATTCACTAACCCTTGACTGGAAGATCCTGATGCTAATGAACCCAACATGTAGGGTGCATGAAATTCACAACTTACAGAAAATGAATTTTGTTTTCTTCGATATGGTTAAATAAAGCTAATCAACTTATCTAGTTAAAGCTGATTTTGATATGTTTGAAAGTCATTTTCGCGTGAAAAAGTGTTGATTGTTTAAAAATAGTACAAAATGAGGAAAATACTCGTATTTCTACTTCTGAAAGTTTTAAGAACTACTTTTCTCTAGTTTCCCATCGAGACGTATAAAAAGTTAACTCTGGCATCTAAGAAACAAATATACTCTCAAAATTTGCAGAAAACGAGTCAGCCAAAAAAGCTACAGATCGAGAATAGACGTTAAAACCAATCATTCTGATCAACGTCACTTCCAAGATCATTGGCACCAGTTTCTGCACTTATTCCTTCCTCCTGGACCGCAGAACGACTTATTCTGATACGATCCTTAAAACAGACAATAAACAAACTGCTATCTCTAGTATTTTCTTTTTAGATGGGCCTTGAACGTAAATAATACGAAAATAAATGGGTTAGAAAAGATTTCAGGCTATGAATTCGGTGAAAAAGATTAATTACGACAAGTATTAAGACGTGGATGTGCCATAATGGATAATGTACCTAGAATCTTTTTCTGCACCGATTTTTGCACTTCATTAGAACCACCATTTAATGAGCTTTGAAAGTACATATTGCTTTTTTTCCATGGTGCGTTGTCATTCCTTATCAGTGCCTATCTTTTTCCTATGTGAAAATTTTTTTCTTCACCTCTTAGTTTCTCTCATCTTCAGTTCTGTATTTCTCCAAGAGTTTTGAGATTTGTTATGTTTGCGAAAGATGTCCTCAAGTCTTCAAAACATATGTGGAATTTATCCCCAGCAGTGAAGGCAGTACGAAAAAGGCTGAAATTTTTACCACTGGTGGGCATTGGGGACTGGAGTATTAGGTAAAAAAATCCGGTCAAACGGAGCTTTCCCTATTGTAGGGTAAAACATGCAAGGTATGGGTACTATGGATAAAAACTTGAAAATTCAGTTTCATCGCTGCTCCTTGTTTGTTTCACTTGAAAGTACACAGTCTTGGTCATCGACTCTTATAAGTTACATGCTTCGATAAAATTAGGAGACCAATATGAGTTTGCGTTACGGAGAAATCAATTATTTCGTGTAAAAAAGTAGAAACTTAGCTGTAACTTGCGAAATTCGTATCTCCACAAGAAAGCACCATGGACCGCTCCCCAGATAGACTTTTTCACTCTTCACTAGGGCCTACCTTACCAACTTATTCTCACTCGAAAAGCTTTTAATCACCTCGAGAGGTTCCCTCGTAAGCTTCAAACTTTTGTCATAACTAGTTTTCATGTCTACTACATATGGTAAAATTTTAGTTCGATCAGACACTTCCAGCATAGTAACCTGCCTACCACTGCCTGCGTTTCTTAAACAGTGGCTCTTAACTTCTAGGCGCTTTGAACGATATTCTGCGTTTAGGTTATAGTTCGACTAGAATGTATTCAAATGGCCGTTGTAGCACTGTGCTAACATCCCTAGTTTAATGTTAAATGCATGTAAGTAAGCACAAAGCAACAATGTAAAGCATTTCTCTTTATTGATTCTAATAATAAGGTCAGCGGCGCTGGGCCTTGAACGTGAATAATACAAAAATAAATGGATTAGAAAAGATATCAGGCTATGAATTCAGTCAAAAGGATTAACTAAGCAAGCATTAAGACGTGGATCTGCCATGAAGAAAAAAGTCTGAAGTCAGCGAGCAAGGTATCCAGACGTTAGAATTCGCTGGTGATACCGCACTAAAATATGTCCTTGCTGGTTTGTTTTATCAAAATCGTCAAAGTGAAGTTGTCTGGACGGATAACCGTAACAGTTTCTGGATTCTTCTGAAAAAAAGATTCACATGCATCGATTGTTTTGAAACATTCTTTTTCTGCTGAATGAAATGGACATGGTTGTTTACAGCATACATGCACCAATTCAAAATGAACAGGAAAGACTCGGTTTAAGTTTTCGCTTAGTTGCTTGTATTTTGAGAGTGTTCCATTGCATGTAGTATGGACAATAAGGGTAAATCCACTATTTTTATTGATTACTTGGGCAAGACTTCTTGTGTTACTTTTGATCGATTCACAGATATCAATAGGTAAGATGTTTTCTAGACGAGCAGATTTTTTATATATTTGCGTTTCATTTTCCGTTTCTGAAGCAGACGGCTGTCCCTGAAGACTTGCTGCATCTTTTTTCTTTTGTGTCGAATCATCTTTGATCTGCTGAGCATTTTTCAGTCGTTCCTCGTTGAAAGTTTGTAATAAGGCATCCTTGAAGAGCGAAGTCTTTGTCATAGCTAAACGCCATGCAAGTGCAAAAGCATCTTCAATAGCAGTATTTAAACCGTAACCGCCCGCCGGAAAAAAGATATGCGCAGCATCACCAATTAAAAATACTCGTTTATCTCTCATCTTAGAGGCAATCCTCGATGCTGTGTGGTAGAAGCTTAGGCCTGTGATCGAGTTAGAATCAATTACGATTGGTGATCGTTCCAAAACAAAACTGGCAAGATGTTCATGAGCCTTACTTGGGTTTTTAGGGGTACCGTCTTGGTTTATATGATCATCATGCCATTGTTTAGTGATATTCCCGTAAAATCTGTAAGAATCCCCATTAATTGGGATGGGGACAACAACAAGTCGATACCCATTATTCATATGCATCGTCATTTCCGAGTGATTCATTTCCGAGTGACTTGTTGCCTTGGCATCAAAACAAAATGACCATCCTATAGTCGTTTCCCCATCAAACGAGATTCCTAGTTCCTTTCTTACCATACTTGTCGCTCCGTCACACGCAATAAGATACTGTGCTTGAAATTCTTGCCTTTTTTTTGTGCTGGTTTCTTCCACGGTAGCTGTGACATGTGTGTCATTTTGTTGGAAAGCAATAAGACGTTTACCGCGGTCAATAGATACGTTATCGGCAAGAATACGTTCTAATGATTGCTGACGAATGCAGATATTTTTATCATTATTTGTTGCTCCTTGGGGAAAGACAGTCTTCTTAAGCAATTGTCCCTCCGAATAAATACTATTTGCGTTCAATTCAATCGACTCTTGGGTAATTGCCTCGATGAAATCGAGTTTATCAAACAGTTTAAGAGTGTTTCGGTGAACTCCCGTGGCTTTGCTTCGATTATCAAAGTCTGTTTTAGCATCAATTACATGAAAATGCTGGTTATAGGTCTTTAACAAATTAGCCATGCATAAGCCAGCCGGTCCTGCTCCCACGACCAAAACTGTTAGCAGACCATGTTCAGATGCTTCATTCACTTGGTTTGTTTCATTATTTAATTCCGCTTGATATGTGTCGCGGTCATCAGCATTATTCCTCTTACTCCCTTGCTCTTTTAACGATAACAAGCAAATATCTATTTCTTGCTGAAAAATATCATGAACATCTTCAAAAAGTCCATTATTAATCGGACTTTCGCTTGTTCCAACTTTACCATCAATGTTTTGACGCGATGCCATCTCTGAAAAACATAATCGTCGAATTTAAACATCACTACAATTGTCTTTAGGATAAGAGAGTATCCCAGCTGCGGTTTGAAAACTTGAAAGAGAGATTAGATCGAGTGTGTTCAGGTCACTCAAAAAATCAACAGTTTTAGGTCATAATATTTTACGTAGAACTGTTGCTAACTCCACTGTTTTTGGTCCTAGTGACCATAATACCAGCTCGTAGGTGACAAACGTCACAATTCTCAAAATAATTATCGGAATTTACAAAATTTTGTTCGTTTCACGCATATCGGGACATTTTTGAACACTATCTTGGGCCAGAGATAAAACGAAATCTTTCGGGCGATGCTCATAATTCATAATTCTTCAAATATAAGTTTGAAACTTCAAGAGACATTTCATTACATAGAAAAGACCTTGTTCTATAAAACGCATTTAGAAAGTTTTTCCTTCTGTCGAAACAAAACAAAACTTTTCAAACTGAAATTCTCGAGTTTTTGACATTTTGACAAGCAATTTAAAAGATTCTATAACTTCGGAACGAAAGGTCCTAAAAAGTCAAGATGATTCCTGTTTTATACAGCAAAGTTTGCTCTATATCGACTTATATTTCTCGCAAAATCAAATTGTTGCTCTAGAATAGAAGGGAATTGCCTTTCGCTATCACATTTTTTTCACTATTCTACCGCTTACTCTCCATCAATCTCATCACTAAAAAAAAAGAAAAAAAAAGACTCTAGTACCGTGTATATAATTCAGCAGTAACAAGAGTGAAAAGACATTCTTCTGTTCTATATAATACTAGATGATTCTATGCATTCCTTAGAAGACTACAAAAACTGATAATTTGCATGTAATTGACATTCGCCTAGCTATGCCTTTTGACGCTCTGATGTGAAGATGTTTGAGTAATTAATGTCTAGTTAGCTAACTTACCTGTTGAGTTTTCAGTTTTGTCAGTTTGATTTTAGATATGATAACTGTGAGGAGCACAATATATTTATACGCAACGCTAAACCACAGTTTTGGGAAATTTCCAATCTTTCCTTTCAATCTAGTATTGCCAGCTGGTACAAATGAAACAAAATATGGGGAAATTCACAGAGAAAATGTAGAATTTTGTGCTTCCACGCAGCATACATCTCATCGATGCTTATATTGTACACAAAACATTTTTTTCTCTTATTTGTTCTCTTTCGTTCTCATATTTTTGATTATTCAAGTAAGACATACATTTCTTTTCCTGATGACAAACTACTACAACATGCGCAAAAGAAATACACTTTTTCTACGCGGTTGAGTTTAGGAACAATAATAATAAATAATCAGTGCGCCAAGAGAAGCCGTTAAAATGATGATCGTAGCAAACGTAACAATCGTAGAATGTAAAGAGCATCTCTTTGATGTTTGTATAGGAGAGAAAATATATAAAATCTATCTTTTCTTCTCCATTTTATTTATTTTTTTCTATAGATTAACTTTTATTAACTCTCGTATATAACACATCAAAGTACATATTAACTGTGGTAATTAATTATAGGTAATATGTATATTCTATTTGGCCTTATCACTGTTAATATGATCTTAAACAAACAGTAAGAATGATTTTCCACTACTGTTGTCACAGTGGGTTTGTTTAGCTTTACACATATTAATGATAGAATAGACTCATGATGCTGCTGAACTATACGGTGGAACGAAACGGGAAGACACAACGTATGAGAGTTTGCCCATTATTTTCTAAAGAAAACTAGTTTGGCAGTGCTAGATATTAGGCGTAGTCGATTACGTTGTACGTCAAAAAGATCTCGGTAAGGCAACTGTGATTTTTACTCAAGGATCTCCGTGTTGATATTTCACGTTTTGCTACACTACAGTACAACTCAGTTTACCTTGCAACTTCAAACAAAGGCATCTTTTTGATCTTTCTTCCTTCTTCGTGCATATAGAGGTGAACACAGAAAGCAAGAAACGACAAAAGAATAAATTTTATATTTTTACATGCTCAATCAATTAGTTGTACTCAATCGAGTTGTACTCTACATCGACTCACTTTTAGGAAAACGTACTATTCACTTTTTCCGTTACACGGCTGCCAATACCGTTGTCCAGCATACCAAAACTTTCGTTTTTGTGAACAGGATCCCGCCGAATTTAAAAATTTGAAAGTATCAAAAAGTTGAATAGAAAGTTTGATAGAGAATTTTATTGCGCATCTAACTATATATAATTTTGGGTTCGAAATTATGATAATTTCTCAAACTATAATTTTTAAAAAGTTTGACCATTTACTGACGTAAGATGAAAAACGTTTAACAACTCAGTAAGGAAGATATTGTTTACACTGGATTTTACAGAATGGAAAATGCACTATAAACTGGCGATAAAAGCAGTGGAGGAGCCAGGATTTTGGCCTAGGAAGGGCTCAGCCCTCAAGATTTTTCGACCCGTTTTAGGTATATCAACTTTATCTATTAATATTAATAGTGATGTAGTATAGACTTAATTCTTTTCTATCCTAACTCTTTTCCGATGACATAAGTCGGGTTAACAAATAGTAAAAGCAAAAAATGTTCAATTCTTTATCTCATTGAAATAACAACAGCGACAATAAATAAGGCAACAAAAAAATATTTGATTTTATATTTCTTTGAAATAACAATAACGATAATGGCAACATATAAAACAAGAAAAATCTTTCAATTTACTATCTGAACATAATTCTTGCATTCTTATGATTGGCAGAAAAATCGTCAACGACGTGGTCAAAATCAATTTTGAAATCTCGTTCCACTGCTAGTAAACATAGATCACTTAAACGCTCATAGTATTTCGAAGGGCAGTCTTTATTGCTTTCATTTTCGAAAACGACCTTTCACAAGATGCTGATGTAATAGGTATTGTCATTGCGCCTTGAATCATTAGAACAACATTGGGAAAAGCTTGTACGAATGAAATTAATTCGCAACATAATTCCTTGATATCAGATAAATTTTTATTCTTCAAGAATGATCGTAATACATTTAATTCATTTTGTAATTCATTAGGATTAATATCCAAATGCAGCGCAAATGGTTTGAGTATTTCAAAGTCTAAGAATTTTTCATGTTTTGGACATAAAGATGATATACTGCTTAAAAGTTCCATAGCTTCACTTGAGAACCGAGGATTTAATTCGATTAAAACACTATCAATTAATAGATAATAAATACTTGTACGATATTGTTCTTGATTATCAGCATAATCTCGATGTCCGATTGTTGATGTAATAATGGAATCATTGAAACATGCGGGAACCTTTTTTTGTCGTCGTTGTCTTGGTTTTTGATTAATATCGATGTCATTTTCTTTACAAAACTGTAGAACTTTACTGTATAACGATTCAAATGAATTATCATCACGATAGCTTTTCATTTGCTCGATAATTGAAGAAATTAATAGTCTTGCTTTTCCATAATCCAATGATTCCTCTAAAGAGAATAGAGAAATTAATGATATTTGGTAGAATTGTTTTTCTTTAATAAAATTCGGGTTATCTTAAATAAATATCTTGTAACTGACTGGACAAAATTTTAATACGTCCAAGTATTTTATGTATTACAAATAATGTAACAACGAATAGTGGTTCTTTAAGAGCAATCAATAAACCATTAGCATCGATAGACCTTGCATCACCATCGTCGACTAAATCATTTAATGGTTTAAGAATCGCTTGATAATTATTGATAATGGCATCTATTGATGACCATCTACTATCCCACCTTATGTATGACCATTTTTTAAGTTTTGTTGTTGTATCTAAAACGCAAAAAAAAAGAGAAAATGAACACAATCCTTTTAAAAGAGGTGCTAAAAATAGTTACCAAGTTGTAATAATTCTTGAGCATTTTTAAAATACGCACTGGTTACACCTGATGCAACAACCTGATACAGCCATGTTCTGTTAATTCTTTTATCATAAAAGAATTAACAGAACATGTGTGTTGTTTGAGAAAAATATATTTTTCGAACAAAATTTGAAATTTTCATTTTTCATAAGTTTCCCTAAAACTTCTAGAGCAAGCAGGTTAAAGAAATACAGTACCACTCCCAGACTTTGTCAAAAATTGCCTGACACTTAAGGGAGGGGGGGGGGGGGGGGGGGGGGGGGGGGGGGGGGGGGGGGGGGGGGGGGGGGGGGGGGGGGGGGGGGGGGGGGGGGGGGGGGGGGGGGGGGGGGGGGGGGNTTTTAAAAGTTTCACTAAAAAATATTTCGCAACAACGTTTAATAAAAACATTAACACACCCAGAATTTGTTAAAAATTTGCTCAACCTTAAGGGCCCCCCCCCCCCCCCCAAAAAAAAACATACCCTCAGAATTTGCCAGTTTGTAGAGAACACCTTCAAGGGTATATGTGTGTAATAACTCACGGGTTGGATAAGTTTTGGCGAGGGAGTAAAACTTTTAAAAATTGAAAAGATCGATTTTCCCAGCTATTTTGAATCTGGTGCTAAAAGTATTTCTTGCGCAGTCCGCCGCATCAGTGAAGCATTTTGGAAAGTTTATGTCAATGCAAAAGTTGTTCGTTCTCTACCGGATGATATATTTTGCTTTTAGTATAGACTGCGTAGATACAAAGTTTTAGGTCATAAACTAGGTCCAAGTTTAACATTTTTTGAAAAGTAATAAAACTTTTAAAAATTTAGCTCCAGTTTATCTCCCTTTTGCATTAAATAAATATGTACCTATGTAATTTTGCATTGTGAACATTTTCTGTTCCAAATATCTTGCCGTAGAATCCTTGCCTGTACAACCGTGTCTCGAATTTCATTCGCCAACAGTATCGTTACTATTGACAAGAATATCGCTAGTGTTATGGTTGCTAATCTGACACCACGATGGAGTTATGTTCGCCCTGGACAGAAACTCACTTTTCTTGATCCTTTTTCTTCTGATTCTAGTCTACAAAAATCTGATGGATCAATTCAAGAATATCAGGATACATGTACATTTATTACACAGGAATCACCGATGCCTGATCCGAAAGAACGACAATTTAATTCATCTAATTCTGCTGATAACTGTTCTAAAGACTCTTCATCTACTACATGTGTTAACAGTCCAGAATTCGCAACACCATTATTTATAACAGAGAGAAAATTTGACAATTACATTGAAAAGATTAGACGACGATTGCTAAGTCAAGATTCAATTGCACGTCGGATTGAAGTTCAGAAAATCAAGATTCGAAAAGATGTTGATGTTGAAGAAGGAGATTTCGGTTCGTCTTTGTCGCTTTTTGCTAATGATCAAAGTACAGTTGAGAGGCCAGACCCTTTGACTGCCATCGTAGTTCGTTCTTTGGCTGAGAAAACTGATCTTGCGCGTATTTTGCCAGCCGATCCTCAATTTTATTCACAAACGGTTGAGAAGCAATTCCAGTCGTTCAGTGGTTCTACAGATATACCTGGTGATTGGCTAACTAAACTTGATTTAGCTTCCTTTGGGCTATCCTCGGATCAAGAAAACCAGTTGCGGCAACTTCTCTTCTAATATTCCGACATCTTCTCATCAAAGCCGGGCCGTACTAATGTAGTTAAGCATCACATTCATGTTGGTGATGCCAGACCGATAAAATAAGGCCTGTACCGCCTCTTAAACCCGGAAAGGAAGGCAGAATGCACTCGACAGACTGCAGAGATGCTCAAAAGTGATGTAGCCGAGCCTAGTTTTGGACCGTGGGCCAGTTCTGTTACGCTAGTCCCAAAAAAGGATGGTACACTTCGTTTCTGTATTGATTTTCGAAAACTGAATGAGGTTACCATCAAAGATACCAATCCGATTCCCAGAATAGATGATACACTTGATACACTTAAAGGTGCCAAATATTTCAGTACTCTTGATCTCTCTTCTGGGTTATGGCAGGTTGAATTGGACGAAGGTAGCAAGGAAAAAACTGCTTTTGTCACCCATGAAAGCATTTTTCAATTTAAAGTCATGCCATTTGGGCTGACTAATGCATCGGCTACCTTCCAGCGTCTCATGGATCTTGTTCTACGAGGCCTGAAGTGGAGCTGTTGCATGGTCTATTTGGATGATGTCATAATTTATTCACCAACTTTTGAACAACATCTAATAGACATTGATAATGTCCTTAATCGGATAAAAGAAAGCGGCCTTACGTTAAAACCATCGAAATGTTTCTTTTGTCGCCGGGAATTAAAATATCTAGGCCATATAGTCAGTGCTGATGGCATTCGACCTGATCCAGATAGATTAGAGGCGGTCCGGTCTTTTTCCGTACCATCTAAATCAATTGTTGTATTCTGTACCAATTGTTGCATATCCGAATTTTGATCATCCATTTATGCGGCAATTGGATGCATGTGACTACGGACTCGGTGCCGTTCTTGCTCAAAATATCGAAGGCATTGAACATGTCATAGCCTATGCCAGCAGGACCCTGCAGCCTTGTGAGAGAAAATATTCTGCACCTGAACGCGAATGTTTAGCCATTGTCTGGGGCACTCAATATTTTAGGCCTTATCTCGAAGGTCGGTCTTTTGAAGTTTGGACCGACCATCTGTCCTTGACTTGGTTCAAAAATATAAAAGATTCAACCAGCCGTCTAACCAGATGGGCCATGAAACTTGATGCCTATGACATGGTTATTAAGCATCGACCAGGAAAGGCCAACTCTAATACCGATACTCTGTCACAGTATCCATCCTCTCAAATCTGAGATAATAGGCGTCTTACAGAGTAGTGGTACTATGATAGGTCCTTTAGAAGAAAATCAGGAGGCTTCAGTTAATCTTTGGGACAGTTGCAGTATTTTAGATAACATAAAATTGGCGCAACGACAGGACAAAGATCTTGGTCTTCTTATTTCTTTCATCCAAGATGATGTTCGTCCTGCTGATGAAATTTTCCTTCGAAAAATAGAGGAGCAGGCTAAAGTTCACCAGGTAATCGACGGAAAATTATATCGGACCCACAAAATAGAAGATTCACCTTTGAAAAATAATCTTAATCCACATCTTTTAGTTATTCCAAAATCTAAGCGGACAGAACTTCTTCAGCTGGCTCATGACCATCCAATTTCAGGTCATCTTGGCCGCCGAAAAACTCTGCATCGATTATCAATTCGCTTTCATTGGAACAGTTTTCTCATCCACTACGCCTACTCAAATCAATGATGTTTTGCTCTTGTATTTCAGAAATGATGAGCAAGACATGGTCACTTGGTTTGTCGCTTAATAAACCAAAATTCTATAATTATTTATTATTCTAATGAAAAGAGATTCACGAAAATTGCTACATTTCATTCATACACGGAAATTCAGAAAAAAGAAATTTCACTTTGATTAAATTTAGATAAAAAAATTATTTGGACCCGGTTCATCATGTTCATTTAATTTTATTTGACTAACAAAAATTTCCAAAGTGTTTGATTTCTCATCTCCCAACACTTTGACATTGGCATAATCATTTTCAATTCGAAGTCGAATCTAAACCCAAAAACTTTTCATTGACGAAAAAAGGTAGTATTACCCTTACCTTGTAATACATAGGTGAGTGTGGAATTGGCATTGTACCATAACTTACGGGCATAAATCGTTCTGACCAACGTGCAGCCAATGCAGGATCAATACTAAATGTTTCGATTATTTTTTCGGCAATTCTTGATCGAATCTAGAGAATGACACCGGTAATCGTGATATGTGAAAACTCGAGCACAAAAAAACATACCGGTATAAACGACTTCATATATTCAGGTTTAAATTCATGAACGCTGAAACCCCCGACTCTGATAGGTGTTCTAAGAGATGAAACAAAGTTTCGATTCTGAAAATGAGATGAAAAAACAATTTAGTGCTTACGGCTCAGTAAAACGTGTTCCCAATACACCACAAACAAATAACAGACCAATAACGAGCACGGTTTGATACATTTTCAATTCGACTATGTACTGTAACGAGAAAAGTGTATGAATGATATAGCGTAACATGCAGAATAACTGTATTTATAGTTTCTGTCTCTCTCTAGACTTGTTTTCCTCATCCGTCCGCTGAGCAAAGATAACAGACCGACAGCGAGTGAGAGAGGGAAAGAAAAACCATTGTTATTCATATTTTAATATGACACAACACAAAGTTTTACTAAAAGTTTATTTAATGTTATGTCTTCGTTCTTGTCTTTCATATATTCGACGTATATCTATCTATATATTATTATCAGTAATCCATTGACGAGTAAGCACTGTTTTTTCTCTCTCTCTCTCTCAGTATCTGG